GATTGTTTATTCCTCTCCAAACTATGTGGTTTCTTCTTCAGGGAACTGTTGAAAGCAAAAGGAACAATTCCAACTACTCCTGGCTTAAACAGAGCATATTGCTATTATCAAGTATAATAAAAATACAAACATGTCAATTGAAAAGACCCCTAGAAAGAATGAAAATATGAGCTACAAATTGGAAAATGAGCTGTGTTATCTATAAATCTGACAAATGATTAATATCCAAAATATGTAGAGAACACCTATGAGTCAGTAGGAAAAAGATAATATCCAGATAGGAAAATGTCACTTTTTATTTGGAAGACAAAATGTCACCAGGACTACCATCCTCTCCACAGATGAAGATAAGGTCCTGGATGTGGGTTTAGTAGGTTCTAGCCTCTATCCTGAACTTTAGGGTCTTATGGATCCAGCTTCCATGTTTTGACTTCAAGGTCAGCACGGGAAGAGTAATCAGAGGCTGATGCCCTGCTGTTGGAGTGAATTATGACTCTAATGTAAATCCAGCAATTCCAATTTCTTGATTTGAGTTGGTTTCCTAGTTTCCTCAGAATAAGAAAGCAAACTCTCAGAATAGCCTCTAGGAAGGTGAAGAACTCAGTTGTACTTGATGATGGTCTGTGTGGTTGTGGTTAAGCACTGTCTTATTAGTTGTCACTTTTTCCCTGCCCTACTTCACATTTTCCTTCCTTCTGATTTTCTGCTATTATTCTCCTTAATAAAATAAGAGTATAAGTCTTTGCTTTGAGATCCAATTTCTGAGGAATCCAAGCGACCAAGTTTGGGTTCCCCTGAAAGCAGATTCTGATACACAGACTTGTGTGCTGTAGTTTATCTTGGAGATGATCATAGGAAGAACAAGTGAGGGAGTGGGGGAATACGGGATGGGGGAGAGAGAAAAGCTAATAAAGTATATGTTATAAGTGAAATGTCACTGCAGGTAACTAAGGCTTAATCTTGCTACGGAGCCTCTGAGAAACCTTGTAAAACATTCCAGGGAATTGTCCCATCAAAACTTCCATTTCCAGCCATGTTGGAGTAAAAGGAAACTGTCCTAACCTCCCGCTGTAAACAACTAGAAAACTCAACAGAATATATGCAACAACTGTTTTTAGGCATTGAACAACAGTCAGCAGAGGACTAGGGCCCCTGAGAAAAGGAAACAAACATGGTTAGATCCATGACCACCCTGGCTTTTTCCTGGAGCAATTCTGGACCACTGTGCAGGACGGGAGAGCCGAAGCAGAGCACAGCGGTCTTGTTGAGTTGAAGACACACAGATTTGAATTCAGGGAGACTGAGGTGACTAGAAGTTATGGAGTAAAGCTGCAGAAAGGAGAGATCCATGCAAGAAAATAAAGCTCCAGAAATCGGCATCGAGGTTCCATTGGGTCTCTTTGATCAATACTAAGTTACACATGATAGGGTGAAACCCCAGAAGATCGGGCTCAGGCTTCCTATGGGACAGGGACATATGTATATATATATATTTTTTAAGTTAATTTTTATTGAGTTTATGATAGTTTACAATCTTGTGAAATTTCAGTTGTACATTATTGTTTGTCAGTCATGTTGTAGGTGCACCCTTCACCCTTTGTGCCCACCCCCTCCCTTTCCCCTGGTAGCCACTAATCTGTTCTCTTTGTTCACATGTTTAAATTCCTCATATGAGTGGAGTCATACATAGATTGTCCTTCTCAATCTGGCTTATTTCACTTAACATAATTCCCTTAAGGTCCATCCATGTTGTTGTGAATGGGATGATTTTTTAAAAAAAAATCAGTTACAAATATGCTCAAAGATTTAAAAGAAAATGTGAACACAAAGAAGAGAGAAGTTGAAAAAATATATGTATACATACATAGTGTAACCTCTAGAACTGTCCAACCAAGGGACTGGAAAACAGAATATTCATCCACTAACTCCTGCCCCTCAATGAGGGTTGCTCTGAGGGCATTAAATTATAGGCCATCCTGCCTGCGAGCTGAGCAAAGTCTCTCTACCATGCTTCCCTCACCACACCCAAATAGAGAAAGCCGTCAGGAAGAGAATCAGAAGGATAGGGGAGGTTGGGCTGGGAAACTGCCAGCATGTATGGATGTTGCCCATTGCAACTGCAAAACTCACTGGTAAACAGAGGGGATATGGAGTGGGGCATCACTGCTAAAGTCAGGACAAGCCCTTCCCCTTATTATTTGTGTGGGTAGTCAGAGAAAAGAGAAACAGTATCATCTTTGTCCCTATTACACTATTGCAGTTGTGCCACCTCCGCCATACCGCAAATGTCTTTTCCGTTACTTCGGGAAGTTCAGAGAGAACATCTCAGTGGAACTCACAAGGAAGGACTCACAGTGATAGAATAGGGTCAGCCATATTTCCTCCTTTCTGGCTCTAGCTTCTTTGGTGTCATTGTTCAGGAAACCTCAAGTCATTCTTGCCATTGCTACTTCCTGCTGATGACCTCTTAAAGTTGTGATGTGTCACATATTTTTTTCCTACTTCCTTCACCCAATGGCCACCACCTCACACACTCTTGTGTCCCATTTCCTGCCATAACACTCTCAGTGGGAGACTGCTTTGTACTCACAAAGTCTCAGAGCAATTTGGTAAGAAAACAACACTACACATCCACTTCATCCAAGACTGACACTGAAACAACGTCCATGAAATTGGTCTGAGGACCAATGGCAGATTTCTGAAGCCATTAATAATACTTAATCCCTGCAACAACTTCAGAAAGTGTTTTCTGTTATTGTCTTTGTTTTACAGAAGGGGAAATGAAGTTGGATGGAGTCAAGAAATTTGCCTGAGACCACACAGTCAACAAGTGATAGAGCTGGAATTTACTCCAAAGTCAATCTGATTCTTTGAAATCTTTGTCTTTAACCACCCTATGAACAGAAATATCTCCTTCCTCCTTTTTATGCTCCGTGTTCCATATTGACAAGAACTAATTGGCCAGTACAGCAAGCTTAAGACAGTGTTTGAATGTAAGGACCGGTCTTAGGTGTGAGGGCTTTATTGAGCCCTTGGAGTCCTACTTGTAAATATTTTCCAACAACCTCTGATTTGGAGTTAGAAAGTGAATGCTAGCATTTATGAAGCTTCTAGAATGTTTTGCCTTTATTTACTTCTGTACAGTTCACAAATTTTCTTTCATCTCATTTGTAATTAATAACATTGGAATTATGAAGAGATGACTGTTTTTAACTTTTTTAAGAGGGAAAAGAAGCTCACACAGTTATTTCTTGCTACTTAGAGCCTTGCTTACCCAGCTGCTTGGAGCAAGCCAGAACTTGATCTCCAGTATTTAGGCTGCCAGCTCTGCCTTCTTACCTCTGCTGAACTCTTTTACCTAGGGCTCAGGATTCCCTCAACTAGTCCTGAGTCAGAGCCAAGCACACGTCCCACACATCCGCAAACCTTCGTCCTTTTCAGGTCTGGATTACACTGGTTTAGCTTACAGGGCTCTTTCTTCCCTTGACGTACCAACTTTGTTTCCGTCTTGGAAACCTGGAGTGCTACTGTCATCCTGGGGCAGCACTGAATACCAAGTTCCTGGATTTTCTCAGTCTAAATAATCTATCAGTTTCCATACAAAATGCACTCAAATCTTAAAACCATTCTATCTGGTAAGTTGGTACCACGGACTGGGATAACATTAAACTCAGTGGTAGTAACTTATAAATGAAGGTTAGAAAATTGAACCGGAACATCCATCACATCACTTCATAGGTCAAGTACTCAGTGATTCACTTTTTCTTCTTCTATTGATAACACAAGTTAAGTTTTAAAGAAAAAACCCACTTTACCACCATTTCACTGCTAGCTTTATTAAATTGTCAATAATTGTTTGAAGAATCATTTAGCAAAAGGAATTAAATAAGAGTCCTTGTTAAGATAGCTGTAAGAATGTAAATGTTTTTAAGGAGGTAAACTTGAGTAGTGAGGTAGAATGGAGCTCCTTACAAAAGCCAGCAATATATATCAGTGACTCTCACACTGAGGAGGGAGGGGGCAGCCTACAGTTTGGAAAAGCACAATCCTGGGTGGGTGAGAGCCAAGGGGAATGACAGCTATCACCAGATGAAATTAAGCATAGCTGACAGTTTCATTTATCTGTGTAGCAAATTGAATGCCCAGGAGGAGAAAAAACCGTTGAGAAATGTTGACGTAAATCATCACATTATCCAGTAAAGACGGCCCTCTTTTTTTTTCCAGAAAACAAAACAAACATTGGTTATTTTGAAATACTTTATTTTAATGTTTATTTTTGCAAAAACATCAATAAATATTTAAAGCTCTGTGTTCTAAGACATAAAGAAACATTGCATAATTAACATGAAACAAGGCATTATGCCTTACAAGGAAGACATGAAATGTCCAAAGGATATTTAGAACATTGTGGTTCTGAAAGCTTCAGCATGAGAAGTGTTGACCACTTCTCACTTCTATACTACTATAAAATCACTTCTCATACTATAAAATCATTTCAATAAAGAATAACTGACATTCCTTTAAAAAGTTAGAAAAATAGACGTACACACATATTCCCCCACCCTGACAATGACCTCACTGTCTAATTGCTTCGACTCCCCAGCCTCTGTCACAGACACTGGTATGTTGTGGGCTCCTCAAAAATATTAGTTTAATGACTGCAGGGCGTTTGCAAACCTTCTACCTTCAAAGTAAATACAAATCAGGATTGTACTAATTTGGGTTTGGCATAAAATAAACAATAAAAATAATGGTACAGTGCACAAATAGATTCAATTACATAATTATTTTATATTTAAAATAATAACATAGAATCTTGGAAAAATCAAGCAACAAATAAATAAATAAATAGTGGAGGATCCCTCCTAAGCGAAGTCAAACACACTAAGCCTGATCCAGGCGGCCTCGGGAGCTGATGATCCGTTTCTCTCTTTCTGCTTTGATTCCTGTAAGGGCAGGGCCTACTTCAGCTACAGCCACTGATCAGCTTCTTCCTCTGGTCAGTCGGAGCTGCCCCTGTAATGAGAAAAATGTACTTAGTAACTGCTTAGGAAAGCTGGCTGCACAACATTCCTCTCCTGGCCTGCCCCACCATGTTCCAGAGTTTTCTGAATTTAAATTTTCCCAGCCTGGCACCACATGGCTACTCCCTATACTGTAGCAGAGACCTCTAGGCTCTTGGATGCTCTTATTTAAGATGCTTTTCTTTAGGATGCTTTTATTTAGAAAAACTGAATTATTGGCTACAAACAGCCAGAACCCGTGACTCTTTGTCTGTCTGTCACACTGCACCTCACTTCAGCCTCACAGTAACTCACAGCAACCCCATGCAGCTTCCCTGTTTGACTGGGCTTAGATAAACCAAATAATCGTCCTTGAGCCACATGGCTAATAAGTGGTGAACCCAGGTTTGTACTCAGCGCAGCGTCACTGCAAAGTCCCTGTTCTTCACCGCTAAGCTTTAGGGCCTAAGTTGCAGAAAACCAAAGGTTCTCCTTTTCAGGTGTGAAGCCCAGAACACACTGAGGAAAAAAAAAAATGCCTGTTTTCTAACAGGGGAAAAGCTTTTTAGCATAACTGACCAACCCCAATGAGTATTTTAATGAAAGCAGCTTTACCCACACTTATTTGAATGGGGATAGAGTCAAGGGTGGGGATGGAGGGTACTAGAAATGCCCTTCTGGCACCAGAGCAGATTAATGATCTTAGTGGCAAATTAAATTGAGAAATAATTATTTTTCCCTCCTCAGCTAAACCCTGGGTTTCTCTGATACAGTTTTCAGGAGTCAGATGCCAGTGACCAATGGCTCTTACTCACTTGTTTAGCATCTTTTCGATCATTTTCTTAACCATGGGGGCTTCAGGGTTGAGACAAACTTCCTGTCCATTCTTGAGAGTGGCTCTGCAGAAAGAGGGGAAAATCCAAGTGAGGCAGGAGGTCGGGCTGGGGGTCGGGTTGGGGGCATCGGGACGGTACAGGTCACAAGGACGGTAGCAGCGGCGGCGCGCGGCAGCACTTACATGACTTCGGTTTGGGCGCAGTGGGAGCCCGCCGGCGTCACCTTCACGCTCTGGATGTTCTTGAAGTGAATCCCCTGCACGGTCTGCAAGCACTGGCAGCGCAGTTCACTGACCACGGGCGCCCCTGCAGGGAGAACGGACTCGGTTAGCGTGACTGTCCCCCGGTGGGCCCACCCGATCCCTGTCCCGCCCTTGGAACCCCAGGGCACCGGGTCTCACCTGCCGCGCGCCGGGTGGCGGCGACCAGGAGCAGGAGCAGCAGCGCGGCCCGGAGGAGCCGGGGAGCGCAGGAGGCGGTGGCGGTGGCGGCGCGGGCCATGGGGCTCAGCTCAGACGGTCGGGGCGGCGGGGCCTGGAGCGAGAGAGCTGGCGGGATTGCTGGCGGAGCGAGCTCTGTGGCTCCCCGACCTCGGCGCACCCCTTTTATCCACGATGGGGCTGCAGACCTCACAGCCCCGGGCCAGGGAAATTCCCGGACCTCCAGGTCTCCCCCGGGTGCGGAAAGAAGCGCGGCCCCGCCCTAGGATGAGGCGGGGGGCTGGGACCCGCCGGTGCCACCCTACCGCGTGTCACCTCCTGCGTGACTGTAACTGCGCCTACTCGGGACTCTTCACTTCCCTCCCTAAGTGAGTGAGCGAGGCGAGTGAGTCGCGGCCACCCTGGAGCTCCGCCTGCGAGGGGGGACCGTGGGCGCCAAGTGACCCCTAGTCCCGGGGTGGGCAGAGGGGAAAGAACTGAGGGCGGGTCCTTCTGGGAGACTCCCGAAAGGTAGCGACAGCTTTAGAGGGACAGAATCATGTCGCTTTAGTTATCAGACCTGGGAGAATTAAGGAGGGGCGAAGGGTTAAATTTTGCTGTTACCTATCCTCTATCTACATATAGTCTCTGTCTCTCTAAAGATTTTGGATTTGCATGTTTTACGTGTCTGAAGTGAATGCTCTCTGTCAAAAATACAGCTGACATCTCGGATTCCAGAGAAGAATGTTTGACACGTTCCTCTTGTTGCATATTCTCAAATCACACTTCGAAGATCTTGGTTGTGTTTTCCATGCGGTGGAAACTGGAATCAGTGTCAAAAGCTGAATCCAGTGTTAATTTCAGTGAAATTAAGGGCGGTAACGTGACCTCTTCTTTTGTAACCTGCTGAATTTCCTTCTTCCCTGAAATGTTGGAACTTCTAAAATTCTCAGGACACCTCCTTTTCCATGCATGAGGAGATCAGACTTGATCTATGAAATTTGGGACTGGAGATCACTTTAAAGCTGCGGAGAGGCAGGTTGGTCAGGCTCACAGGGTTCACCTTTTCCGGTCTATCCATGGACAAAATAGCACATGGACGCTAGAATGGGTACCTGCTGTGTAGCAGCCTTACTCCGGACGTGGGGATGAAATATGAAATGCTGAGTCACACGTAAAACCCAATTGCATTTACTACCAGGCCCTTCTGTGTCGGTTCCCCCTTTCTCTGGAAGCAAACATTGATGTCTCTGTTTTCTGACCAGGAATTTCAGTCTTTTTACCTGATGCCTTTACTAGGTTTTCTCCAGATGTTTTGTAGATCTTTGATTGACTCAACATTAGGTATAGAAGGTTTAAGTGTGTTAATAAACAAAATCCAACCGAGAAAATCTGAAGATCTAACTGGCTTTATTAAACAATTCATGAATCAAGCAACATCCCAACTAGGAATTAGGAGGGTGCTCTGAGCAGTTGTACAAAAGGGAAGGGTTTTTACGGGAAGAAGGATGGGGCAAGGGAGCTGTTATCGGAAGAAAAAAAAGATTCTTTTTAGGTCAGCCCATCTCCTCTTGGGAGAAGGAAACTAAACAGCAGGGGTCTTTATCATGAAGATTGCCTCTTCTTCTTCTGTGGGGGTGGGGAGGGGATGGAGAGGGCCCACCTGATAGACTACCTTACTGATGCTTGACCATAAAATTCCAGACTGTTCTATTAAGATTACATTTCTAGGAGAGGTTGAAACTGCTGTTCGATGAGATATTAAATCTAGGTTTGGTATCTTTGGGCTGTAGCATGAGTGACATCATTTGGGGCCAGTGGTTTTCTTTTTAACAAGTGTAGGTCTTCAGATTGGATTCAGACCTCTTGGAGATGTGAAATACGATGGGAGGGGGAAGGAGAAAGAAATGGCCTCTAGCCAAGGGATGAGTGTCTAGGGACAGGGCACTAGGCAGCCCAGCTCAGTGGATCAGAGCCTGCCCGCCATAGCCAGCCATTGGGGTGCAACAAAGTGCCTGGATTTAGTTGCCACCCATCACCTGTGAAGGGAAAGAGAGAGAATCCCCCCCCACACACCCCTTTTTCTAAGGTTCTTATGGCTGGTCAAATAAATAAAAAGGCAGGTTAGCAGGAGAGAATCAAACAGAGTTTAATAAAATGTACATGTGGGAGAAACCCAGGAAAACTGAGCAACTGGCCAGAATGGCCAAAGCTGCCACCTTAAATACCATCATCAGCTAAACACAAAGGAGGATGCAAGGGGTAGTGGTTTGGGACTTCAAGGGGGAGGAAGGCCATTTACATGGAGATGGAAATGCAAACGTTTGTTAAACAAGTTTTGCTGGATCAAAAATGGGCTTGTTGGTGCCTTGCTATCACACCTATTTTTATATTATACTATAGTTATTTTATGTTATTAGCTCCTTCCTGTAACAGGCTTTCCGTGTTCAATTCTTTTAGGCAGTTTGGGGGAAGGTTAAGTGTTCTTCCTGAGTCTTCTAAGCCCTTATTGTCTTCAGCTCGAAATAATCCACATACCAGAGTGGCACATTTTGGGGCAGCCTGCCTTGAACCCCATCATCTGCAAGTTGTTAAATATTTCTTTACCTACCCCAACATAGTGTTAAAAAACAAAATGATTCCACCCAGTAAATTTGAAGATCTAATTGGCTTTGTTAAATGATTCATGAATCGAGCAGCAGCAGCCCACTTAGCATCTTGAAGGGTGCTCTGAGGAGTTGTACGAAATGGAAAGTTTTTATAGGCAGAAGAATGGTGGGGCAAGGAAGCTATTAGTAAAAAGAAAGAAAAGATTGTTTCAGACCAGGACATCTTCTTTTGAGGAGGATGGAATGGCAGGGGTCTTCATCATACAGATAACCTCACTGTGCCAATCAGGAGATTTCAGATTGACTGTTTAAAGATCACATTCCTGGAATAGGTTGAAACCATAATTAATCCTTGGTTTGCTTGTGGTGGGGGGCCAATGACTCCATTTTAGGTCTGTTATTTCTTTTGTAATGGTAGTTATGAGAAATGAATCAATGTTTGTGAGAGCCAGCACCAATTAAGTGACTTATAAATGTTTGTAAAATAAATAAAATGGAAATAGCTTTCTCCAACATCGCCTAAACAGAAGATCGTTTTAGAATTCTTCTATAAAGAAAAATAAATTATAATGAAAATGTTAACTCTCCAATTTTTCTTTCCACATCTAATATTTTCTGTACCAGGCTTTCTGAAAGGAAGGCACATCTGTACTCTACTGGGAGATGCACTTATGAGATTTCTTGATCTGAGATTTTTTATATGAGATTTTTTTTTTTACTGCTGACATCTATCACTGATTTATTTTATAGTCCTACTTTCCATCATTTCATCTATAAAAAGGAAATTTGAAGGGCTGGTCTGGTGGTGTAGTAGTTCATGCGCTCCACTTTCGTGGCCTGGGGTTCTCAGGTTCAGATCCCCAGATGACCTAGCACTGCTTGTCAAGCCATGCTGTGGTGGCATCCCACATAAAACAGAGGACAATTGGCACAGATGTTAGCTTAGTGAGAATCTTCCTCAAGTGAAAAGAGGAAGATTGGCAACAGATGTTAGCTCAAGGCCAATCTTCCTCACACACACACAAAAAAGGAAATTTAAATTAAAGACTCTACATCTTATTTACTGGAAAAGATTTATAAAATGAATGACTGTCTTTAAAAATACTATAGTGTTTATCGGTATAATCCTGAGAGAAAAATCAGGAAAATTAAAGGGAGATTAAAATTTGTATTAAGCAGTAGGAAATAAGAAATAATCTAAAAGTTGTAAAGTATGGGACTAGCTCATGAATAATTGAGAATTTGTATGGTTACTCCTCTTGTTATCAATAATTTTCTGGGATTTGATGGGAAGCTGGCCCAGAAATACAAAAGTTATTCATTAAAACTTGAAAGGTGTATTGTTTTGTTTTCTAATTGTAAATGTAATGCAGGCTCACTTTATAAAATTTATAAAAGCCAGAAAAACTTGAAGAGATTATTTTTTTTCTCTAAACTCTCTTAACTTTTGTCTGTGGAACAAACTTTAACAGGTCAGTGAAAATTTGATTTTTTCTTCAACAAACATAGTAGCTGACAAATTATAAGAGCTTACAGGATTCTGAGTCAATATGGAACAGACCGCTTCCTTTATTTAGTTGCCACACACTGTGGGCAGGTTACTAAACCTCTACACTCACCCCAAGGCACAGCACATCTATTTTGTGCTCCTCTAAGAGTTTTACAAATTTTGACTCACTCAATCCTCCAACAAACCGTGAAGGAGATATTGTTATCCTTATGGAATGTTAAGGTTACAAAGAAGAAACTAAGGTGCAGAGAGGTTAAGCAACTTTCCTCAGGTCACAAAATATTGAGCCTGGGACCCAAACCCAGAGAGAATGACTTTTCACCATTATGCTACGACAGAATGCTCTGTGGTATCTGGTTAATAATTTCTGGAGAGGAATGATTTTTTTTTTTTTTTTTTATTAATGTTATGATAGATTACAAGCTTGTGAGATTTCAGTTGTACATTTTTGTTAGTCATGTTGTGGGTACACCACTTCCCCCTTCGTACCCTCCCCCCACCCCCCCTTTTCCCTGGTAACCACCGATCAGATCTCCTCAATATACTAATTTCAACCTATGAGTGGAGTCATATAGAGATCGTCTTTCTCTGACTGACTTATTTCGCTTAACATAATGCCCTCGAGGTCCATCCACGTTGTTGTGAATGGGCCAATTTCGTCTTTTTTTATGGCTGAGTAGTATTCCATTGTGTATATATACCACATCTTCTTTA